CTTTAACATTTAACATGCTAACTGTAGATGTAGCTCTTTGTTTTGTTTTTGTAGTTTCTCTGAGCATTGCATAGCCTGACCTTTGGTGGAATTGACTGGGTATCCACGCCTGAGGAGACTGTGACATTGTGTTAACACACCTGAATGCTCCAGACCAGCAAACTGACAAAACTTTAGTTTTTTTTAAGAGATGCTCACACTGGCTGGTTATCAGCCAATCAAACGCAGTTGATTAGTAGCATTTGGCTGCTATTCTTTTATTATGTTATGAAAACTTTCTTTTTCACATGTCTGTGTCACTATAAATGAGATTTTATTGAGCCATATATTTAATGATGACACAATATGCACAAAAATATTTTTTGTCAGTTAATTATTCTGATTTACAACTTCAGTGTACTGCCTCGGAGAAATATGTGACTTTCCATGAGCCTCTAGCACTGAGAGGCAGTTTATATTTATGTCTGAGTAGTGCTTCAAGGTCTGGCAAGAGCATTTACATTGGGCATGCTTTATTAATGTGCAAATTATAAAATTTCATTGTCCCCAATTATTTAAGCAATCTCCCTTTATATGCATCTATTGATTCATCTATTCCTGCTCATCTCATTCAATCATTGGCTCTCTCATCCTGTATTGCTCACATTCTTCAAAGTGGTTGCTCCAGTCCCCCAGATTCATGCATGCATGGACTTTAATGATCTCAATGGAATGAATGCCTTAAGAGTGTGAGTCAGTCATCATACCTAACCCAATGTCTGATAATGAATTATTCAAGGCTGGCTGCATAACTTAAGCTGTCAAAAGATTTATCATAGCTCTGGCTAATATCATAGCCTGCTCGTCAAGTTACGTATGCTTACATACACACACACTAGCAGTCAAAAGTTTGGACACACATTGTAGATACTCACTGAAGACATCAAATATATGAAGCAAGATATATGGAATTATGTAGCAAATAAAAATTGATAAATAACTCTAAATATGTTTTATATTGTAGATTCCTCAAAGTAGCCGCCCTTTGCTTTGTTGACAGCGCTGCAAACCCTTGACCTTCTCTCAATGACCTTCATGATGTAGTCACCTGAAATGGTTTTCACTTTACAGGTGTGCCTTTCTTGAAGAACCAATCAGCTAAGTAAAGAGAAACAACAGTTCATCATTACTTTAAGAGCTGAAGCTCAGTCAGTCTGGAAAATTGCTAAAACTTTCAATGTTTCCTCAAGTGCAGTCGCACAAACCAGGTGCTACAAGTGCTACAATGAAACTGGATCACATGAGGACCGGCCCAGGAAAGGAAGACCAAGAGTCACCTCTGCTGCTGAGGATAAATTCATCCGAGTCACCAGCCTCAGAAATCACAAGTTAACAGGACCTCAGATTAGAGCCCAGATACAGTGGCTTGCAAAAGTATTCAGCCCCCTTGAACTTTTCCACA